AGAGGGGAATTTGGGAGAGAGGAATCTGAGAGAGGAAAGTGGCCCAAGAGGAACCTGGAGCACAGAGGGGAATCTGGGAGAGAGGAACCTGGGCGACAGAGGGGAATTTGGGAGAGGGAAAGCAGCCCAAGAGGGAACCTCAGGAGCACACAGCATGGAATTCCTGCATCTGAAAGCCTTCCTCCAGCCCGGGAGGAGGCGGGAAAGCAGACACCACCCACCACATACCTCCAACTCCTTCGGAAAAACAGGCTGAAGCTCAAATCCAACATAAACAAGGGAAGGGTTTGAGCTGGAGGCAGCTCAGCCGGAATGCCAGCGCTTAGGAAAACCCAGGCCAGCTCCCAGACAAGGGGAGGCTGTTCCCGTGGTGGGCTCACCGCCGAGATGGACACCTCCTTGGTCACCTCCCTGTGCCAGCTCAGGTCCTCCTCGGGGAAGAAGGAGTGGTTCCGGAGGTTGATCCGCTCCGAGGGCAGGATGTGACCCTGGGTCTGGACAGAGCAGGAATCCGGGGCTGCCCCCATCCCCAGGGGGGAAGGCAGGGAGCCTGGCACCCCCTGAGAGCCCTACCCTGCAGATATCCGTGTCCAGGTGCAGCCCCCAGCGTTCCAGCTCCCGGGAGGCCTCCGGGCTGTCGCGGATCTGGCGCAGGAGGTTGGTGAGGCGCAGGTAGTGCTGCCGAGGGCTCTGCATCATCTCCCACATCACCTCCTGCAGGGGCAGCCCCCAGGGCGTGATGGGGGGGCTTGGAGCTACCCCCCGGCAGCTCCCCAAAGCGGGCACTGCCAGCTGGGGAAAAGCAGGGACAGTGGGATGGAACAGGCTCTCACCTTCAGCGTCCGGCTGTTCTTCTGCAGGTCGGACAGCCCGGTCAGGAAGGTGAGCTCTGGCACCAGCACCACCATGTCCAGCTGACGCTGCAGAGGGGACAGGCACCCTCAGCATTCCAGGGGCTGGGAGTCCCTGCCCTCCCCAGGAGGCCAGGACAGACCGTGGATCCCCATTTCTCCATGTCTCACTCACCTTCCTGTCCATCGTCTGTTTTTCCTTGGGCCTGTGGATGAGCAGTGGCTGGTCCAGATCCCTGATGGTGATCCCGTAGGCTTTGCTGGAAAAAAAAAACCAAACCAAACAGCATAATCACAAAATCCTGGAATGGTTTGGGTTGGAAGGGACCTTAAAAACCACCCAGCTCCAACACCCTGCCGTGGGCAGGGACGCGGCATCGGGCGAGACCTTCCTGCTCCTGCTCACCCAAGAGCGGGCATCGAGCCCTTCCCAATCCCGAGGGATGATCCATCCTCACCTGTAGTACTCCACGAAGGTGATTTCCTCCCCGCTGGCCAGGGTGAAAGTGTCCCTGGGGGTCTTGTCCCAGTCGATGTCGTCGACCCGGTAGGTGCGGTTGTTGTAGCGGGTGATGACCACGCTGCCCACCAGCTCCTTGGTGCACTCGTCCTGGAACGTCTTCTGGCTCTGGGAGTGGATTGTTTGCCTGGGAAATGAGGAGAGACGGCCCATGGAACGCTGCCTGCCCCTGCCATCCCAAAAATAAAACGCTCCCCTCCTGGGATTCTTTCCCGCTCCTCTCACATCATGCTCAGGACGGACTCGCTGCGGATGATTTTGTGGATGGAATCCACCATGAGGAAGAGCCCGCCGTCCTTCTTCCGGATGCTGACGGCGTATCCCGGCCAAATTTGGAGGCTGTGTCCACAGGGAAAGATGCCCAACGGCGCCTGGGTTAACCCGGAGCCGCCCCAGGAGCCAAGGAACACCCAAAACGCACAGGGATTTGTTTCCCAGCTCCCAGCTTCGGAAAACAGCCGCTCCAAGGTCAGGCCAGCCAGAGCTGACCTGGGAAAACTTCCCAGTTTCCAGGCTGCCGGGGAAACAGGGATGTCCCTGGCACCCACCTGTGTTTATGCAAGGTGGTGGCCTGGGCAGGCTCAAAGAAATGTCTCCCAACCAGGCTCATGTTTAAGATTTTCATCACCCTAAGGAAGGAAAAGCAGGAAAAGTAGGACTGGGTCAGGCTTGGCAGACAGGAGGGGGAGGAGGGTCTCCTCCCTGGAGCTCAGGGAGGGTCTCCTTGGTCTCCCACCTCCGGAAAACCACATTGTAAAAGGGGATGCAGAGATCCGAGCTGGCCTCCAGGACCTTGGTCATCTGGATGGTGATGGAAACCTCCTCCCCATTGCTCTTCCTCTGAGCCTTCACGCTGACCTGTGGGGCAAGAGGGGGATTCTCCCACCCAAAACAAGGGCTGGAGGCCTGGGGGGGGCACCTGGGCTAAGACAAGCCCCCCCTTACCTTGGGAATCTGGATGGGCAGGAAGAGGATGGAGCCGTCAAAGGCCAAAACATCCCCGGTGACGGCGTGCTGCTCCTTCAGCATGGCAAAGCGTGTGTTCCTGCACTCCACCTCGGGGCTGGGGACACACAGGGGCTTTTCTCCCTCCCCTGTCCCCACCCCAGACCCTGCTCAGCCCCCCTGGGATCCCCCCTGAGGGGGAAAACCCGGAGCTCTTTGCATTGCTGCGCCGGGCGCCCCGTCTCGTGGCACTCGGGACACGGAGGGCTCTGCCTGGGGACACCCCCTTCTCGAGGGGCTGTGGGGGACCCCCGAGGGGCTGCGGGGCCCCTCCTGAACCCCCCAGTACCTGAAGGCCACATGGTACTGGTAGACAACTTCGTTCTGGCAGTGGATCCTCACCAAGTTCAGCCCCAGGGCGACGGCGGGTCCCTTTGCCCCCGGGGGGGCCCTGGGGAGGGACACGGGGTCAGGGGTGACCCAGCAGCACCTGGACCCCCCAAA